TATTATTACTATGTATGATGTATATATATACTATGTTATTTCAACTCTTGCTTGTTTTAGTAATTTTTACAACGTCGAACTTAATTGCCGCTTTTAAAACCATATTGTTGCAATAAATAATTCTTATTCAGTAAATTGGTTTCTTTTTTTTTTAAAATCTACCAGTTAAATGTCTTTTTGATCACCTCCGAATCTTCTCTGTTGATCACCAGTCCAGAGTTTAGCAGTACCTTTGTTCAGGAGTAATGCAATTGAAAACCTCTGACAACCACCTATAAGACCTTCCAAAATGAATTTCTTCAAACAACCCCAAAAGAACCCCTTTAATAATACGACCTTATGAGAATCTAAAAGATTCTCCTTCAATATAAATGACCGTCATGAGATCACATACATTTACCACCCTAGAGATATAAGAGCACAAACCCTGACCACCCTAGAGGCCTTAGACAACAAACCTTTACTACCCTAGAGGCCTTAGACAACAAACCCTTACCACCCTAGAGGCCTTAGACAACAAATCCTTACCACCCCAGAGGCCTTAGACAACAAACCCTTACTACCATAGAGGCCTTAGACAACAAACCCTTACCACCCTAGAGGCCTTAGACAACAAACCCTTACCACCCTAGAGGCCTTAGACAACAAACCCTTACCACCCTAGAGGCCTTAGACAACAAACCCTTACCACCCTAGGGGACTTAGACAACAAATCCTTACCACCCTTGAGGCCTTAGACAACAAACCGTTACCACCCTAGAGATACAAGACCACAAACCCTTACCACCCTAGAGATACAAGACCACAAACCCTTGCCACCCTAGAGATACAGGACCACAAACACCACCCTAGAGATACAAGACCACAAACCCTAACCACCATAAAGATACAAGACCACAACCCTTACCACCCTAGAGATACCAGACCACAAACTCTTACCACCCCAGAGATACAAGACCACAAACCCTTACCACCCTAGAGATACAAGACCACAACCCTTACCACCCTAGAGATACAAGACCACAAACTCTTACCACCCCAGAGATACAAGACCACAGACTCTTACCACCCTAGAGATACAAGACTACAAACTCTTACCACCGTAGAGGCCTTAGACAACAAACCCTTACCACCCTAGAGATACAAAGACTACAAACTCTTACCACCCTAGAGATACAAGACCACAAACCCTTACCATCGTAGAGATACAAGACCACAAACTCTTACCACCCTAGAGGCCTTAGACAACAAACCCTTACTACCGTAGAGATACAAGACCACAAACCCTTACCACCCTAGAGATAAAAGACCACAAACTCTTACCACCCTAGAGATACAAGACCACAAACTCTTACCACCCTAAAGATACAGGACCACAAACACTTACCACCCTAGAGATACAAGACCTCAAACCCTTACCACCCTAGAGATACAAGACGACTAACCCTAACCACCTTAAAGATACAAGACCACAAACCCTTACCACCCTGGAGATACACAAGACCACAACCCTTATCACCCTAGAGATACAAGACTACAAACTCTTACCACCCTAGAGATACAAGACCACAAACCCTTACCATCGTAGAGATACAAGACCATAAACTCTTACCACCCTAGAGGCCTTAGACCACAAACACTTC